AACCTTGGTTATATGCTTCCAGAATTTTATGATACTGAAAAGTCGTGTTTTATGAATTGCAACTTTATTAAATTGACACTTTCAACTGGATGGAGACACGTGGCTTGACCTGGACTGTTAGATTGGATCTAGAACCTTCTATTATTTGTGCCGTTTCACTTGGCACTTGACTGACTCTCATTAATGCATCTGACTCTTGGTTTTATGAGAGAGAAAAAGCTCTCGTCTGGTTAGGGTTTCATCTGGTTTTGATTCTCTAGCTTAAATCTTTGATTTGAGGCCTTAAACGTGTAAATCTTAGTGATCTGATTAGATATTCTGAGTGATTATCTGCAAAATCATGTGTTCTCTTGAGTTGTGATGTTTTGAGAGGGAAGCAGTGAAGATTCTTTGTGATTCTTCGAAGGTGTTTGGGTCGATCTTGAGATATAAGTGTCTTTACTTTATCTCATTATATTTGTTGAACATCTGTAACCTTTCGTTGCCAATTTTTGGCTATTATAGTGCAGCCGAGCGTAATCCAACTTTTTGGATGCTCAACGGGGGATGTAAGCGTTTGAAGCGGTCGCCGAACCTCCGGGACTTGGGCCGAAAGAAATCTTGTGTTGAATCATTAATTTTTTGCACTGTTTTACTTTAGGCTGTTTTTGATTTACTTGCTTCTCAGTTTAATATTGTGTGAACTTTGCCTTTCAGCAAAGTATATATAAACGCTCTATAGATGGTGTGTTTTGTAAATTTTTCTAATATAAATAATTGTTATATATGTTGAGTATAAAGTTTCATAAAATAGATATTATGCAATATATTTTAGCTTGACTCTAATAAAATGTGACAAAAATATATATGAACGTGTAGACCAGGAATGCAAATTTTGGATTGTGAAATGGTGGCTAACGAAGGAAGTCCTCTTTTGAAAATGCTTCTCAGAGGAATGCAATTTCTAATTTTATTCTCACTACTTCGATCCTTTCTAGTATTTTCTGCAAAAATATTAATTCCACTATCTTATCATTAAAATGGAATGTGACTTGGCAAATATTTATTTATTTTTGTCTAATTGAACATGATAATATCCTAAAAACAATGAAATAAGAGGTATGAACTCGTGTTTGTAATAGCTTTCTTCTTCATTAAAAAATCAAGAAGCAATGAATAGATGAAGGCCAGCATCGATGATCAACAACTATAAAATTTGTGTGCTTTGATCTTTTTGTTTGTTTTGTCATTTTGTAAATAGGGATATGTTTGGCTAATTTTTGTAAACATTTAAAATTATTTTTTATCCACATATTTCGAAGGATTCAACGATATACTATTCACTTATTCATTATTTATTTCGATCGATTTATAATTTAAATCGTTTATAAATATTTTTCTAACATGTAGTAACGACAAGAAGGCAATGAGTATGGAAGCAATAATTTTAGAAGGGTAAATAAGTAACATCTGCAAAAAGAATAAGACGAATTTCCAATTATTAAAGCTTTTGACAAGGGTCCCATTTCATGCTTTACTTCAGACAAAACAACAATAATTTAAGAGGGAGTTTTTGTTAATCCATTGATTATTGGAAGTTAGTGCCTTATGCAAACAAACGTATTCATGCAAATTTCAATTCATTCTTTCTAAATAACATTGATATTGACAGTCCATTTTAACGTGACTTGAAAGGCTGGCCACCAAATTTTAAAAGTAATATATAGATGTGTGCAAAAGATTCCTTTGAGCCACAGAGAGATTGATCGACGCGTGCAAAGCGAGAATGAAGTTTTGGAATCTTCCTGTTATGTTTTCGGGGCTCTACTCGACTACATTTCGATCTTAATAATTGAAAAACGATATTTCCTTGCCTACCAAGTTGCTCCACGTCTCTTCAATTGTTCTCCATCTTTAATTGCTCCATGGATAAACACAATTTTTCTTAGATGATTATGTATTCTAATGAATACAT